CTGCCGCCCGGGGCGGGCCGCCCCTGCCGCCCCCACTACGGTACGCCACTGGACTACTACAAAGTTTGGGCTAATTGATCAACATTTCCAGTGGGTTGACGTCATTCAGCCGACCAATCAGCGCGTTGTGCCATCTGGATATTTAGTCTCACGTCCTAGAGATCCGCGGCATAGGGTATCATGGTGTAGGGGTTTTAGTGGCTTTTATTTTAACAGATTACGTTTAGAAAAATTAACTTTATTTCAAATTTAATTAATAACAAATATCTTAAATTAACTTAACACAAAATACTTTGTTTGCCAGTAATTCACCGAAAAACGTTTTAGATCAGTCATGTTCGGATCTATTCGTCATCATTAATTGTGCATTTCCAAATTACTATAAAAGTCAATGAATCAAAAATTTTAAATTACTGATCATTACAATATGTACCGTACTATTTTAAAATAAATAAATATATATATATATTGCTCTTTCCGCCCTGTTGGCACTGAGAAGGTCTTTTATCCATACCCACTGTGGGTTCAGGCAGGCCACAATGGAGCCCAATATTTTCGGGCCAGATCGTCCCTGAAAATGTTAGAAGTTTTTTTCAAATCTCCACAGCGCTACGTAGACTGCCCTTTAACCGCTTCCTCCATACGACTGCCACGCTTCCAATAAAAAAAAATCAATGTTAGATTAAAATTATAATATGCCGATTTAATTTTAAAAAGATAAGAAATCTCAAAAATGTATGAAAAAAATCTAAAAAGTATACTGATTTTTAGCTGTCAGATTTCAATATTATCATGAAAAAAATCAAACTATCATATACAGTACTATATACATACGCTTTTATCAGCAAGAATAAGCAAAGATATTAAAAAATTATATAAAAATCATATTTTTTTAAAAATATTTTCCAGTCAATTTTAAAATTTTTATTTTTGTGAGAAAATCTAAAAAACATAACCACGAAATATGAGTCGGCAGATCGAAAAAGGTAAGTCGGGACTTTCACTTACACTATTTTCTTTCTGCTGATTCATATCCTTTTAGAATATAAATAAAGTAGAAATGACTTGTTCATTTGAACGAATTAACTCACGATATAACGTTTGACCGAAAACTTTAATATTTACGATAGACACATTTCAGTTCATTAATTCGACATTTACAATTGACAACTTTTGTTCATTAATTATTTATATAAAATTTTTCAAAATTGATTTTTAACTCGTAAGCAGAAGCCATCTCAGGTGTACATAAAATTATTAAGTGAAAGCGAACTATGAGCGCTATCGGAGGTCCTGTGTATAATGCAATACAGACTACTTTCATAAAGGCCGTAGAAAGCTTGTATGGGACCCGGGATAAAACGGGTCCTTATGCCAATAAAATTTTTTTTTTATTAATAAAAATAACAATCTTTTTTTGGTAGTAAAATTAACATTTATTTGTAAAGGTATGAACCAGTACGTACCCTAAGTTTTCTCCAAACCCAAGAAAAAAGTTTCAGCTCCCCTCCGAAAGAAAGAGCAGCTGAACCCTGACCGTTTTCGAATTTTTCTGTAGGAAGTGTCATTCACTTCTATATCGCCATCAATATCATAATTTATTAGAAAACGTCACAATTTAAATTATAATTTTTTAAAATCTAGTGTGTTGAAAGCCGAATCATAGCAACTTCACAGAAATTTGCGTGCCAGATATGTCGAACCTATTCTTCACTATCGGCCAACCTCATTGACTGGTGGCTAATTACAGAACGATTCCATAGCCGTAGTTCTGTTTTTATCACGAGATGTGGGTACTTTGTGACGTCAAGAAGCTCGACATGCATAATTCTAATTTATAATCGGTTGTGACGTTCCAAATCACGTGACGGAACGCAATCGGTGTAAATACACAACAGTCAGAATTAATTTATTACAAACAAAATTTACTACTGTTCGTTTTTTTGTACAGCAAATTTGTCTTTTGTCTAATACTCAATGATTATATTGTAGCTCTCAAAGATGACTATTGATTATTATTTTTATCAAAATATTTAAAATAGGGTCGACCTTAATATAAAATACTGACATTTTCCATTTATCTATCAACCTGAAAATCGTGCTTTTGCATATATTTTACAAGACTACAATTTTTTAAAATAAACTTAATTTCTTTTAATTTTATATTGTTTATAAATTAAAAAGCTGAACGACACTTATAATAATTTATCAAACCATTTCTTATTTGTCCATCAAAAATAGACAAATAAAACATGCCAGTAAGTGCGAGAGACTGATATGTAGAAACTACACCATTAGAATGTGTGCAGATTGTGCACTGTATCCATCATTGTACATAACAAAAGTACATTAAGACGAACTAAGCTTTTGTTCGTTGTGTTGGAGACACTAAAGCCGTGAGCCCGAGTAGGGATTAGAAAATTACCAACCAGAAATGCATTCTTAAATAAGCGAAATAAAGAAAACTGTTTTAATATCGGACTCTGCTAGTTGTGCATAATTAAGAAAGACGTGATAAATATTACTAATCTCACTATTGGAAGAAGAAATCTTCTCTTATAACTTTTTATACGCCCTCCATCCTGACGAAATATAGAGTACAGTATGTTTCCTCGAAGCTAACTACCGTCCTTTTGCCGAAGTCTTTGCACATTTCTAGCCTTTCAAGTTGTTTCGGCCAAGGCACTATTTTTTCTCGATGGCGTCTTTTTCATTCCTAAGGAGTGAGGAAATTGTAGGGCTTTTCTAAAATCTTACAATTTCCTCACTCCTTAGAATTCTGTGCTTACTACATCGGGTTATCTCCTTATAGATGGATCAGAGGGCCTTCTCGTAGATGACTACCACACCGTGTTGTAGAACTGCCTGGGCTGAAACATTCGGAAAGCAGAGATATCTACAAACTGTTTGGGATAAGAACGGCATGGTCCATTTATATGTTACTGTAGGTCTAGTATTATACAATTTAGCAAAATCGCTGTAACTCTGATGTTATAAACAATAATGTAACGAAACGATGACGTCATCAATGTTTATATCAAAACATATTTTAAATTATCACCATGTTACTGAACGCCGAATCGTCATAAAAAGTTTTAATTGGCATAAATTTAAGCCTTTGTAATTTTGAGTAACATTTTGAATAAAATTCGTTTGTTTCCATGCAATTTTATTCTTATAAGCAATATCTCACACTAATGTCTGTAAACAAAAAAAATCTCTTAGTCAAAACATAATCTTAAATATCAGAAAAGCAAAAAGCCGAACTTAATTATTAACTGTAATTTGCATACACTGTACTTATGACTTTGTTAAATAAAATATATTAGGCTATTCCATTCTTTTTGAAATCCTTATGGATTTTGCTTACACACTTTTTATAGTAGAATATTGCAAAGGATATATAACCTGCAATGATCAAAAACAAAGAAGAATAAAATTTCATCTTACACGCGTTCAATAATCAGTCTAATGCAACGAATGTACAGTACTGTACACACATACATATTTTAAATGTCAGAAGAAAATTCAGGCCATTAGAGTGTTAAAATAATATTCCGTTCAAGACTTGGAATTTCGCATTACGAAGAACAACTGTTATAAGAAAAGACAAGCACCGTACAGAAGATTTTTCAAATTACCGCGAACATACAGCAAATCGAACGACAAGGTTTGTACCCCGATAAATGTTCACTCGAGCAAAACAACCTGTCAGAAGTGGGGTTCGAACCCACGCCCTCATACGAGGACCAGATCTTAAGTCTGGCGCCTTAGACCACTCGGCCATTCTGACACCAGGAAACAATTTCCTAATCGCGCGATTATCAAATCGAAAAGCAATCCTGTCGCATTTTCGTTACACCTGTTTGCTTTCGAAAGAAATGCAATTCCAACTGCCATCATCTACTGGACATTTCACAACGAACTTTTCACGTTTCATCGCACGTCAATAGTAACGAATCGTTCGGTTTCTCATCGAGCGTGCGTGCACTTCATCCCCAGTTGAATATTGCTAAGCCGACGGTTTATGAAATTCGTCTGCAATTTCGCTTCTTCTTATAAAGTTTTTTACAGAAGCGACGGAAATAAGCTTCTGTGTAACATTTATCCCGAATTATCATCCCCTCTAGAATGTACTTAAAACACACAACACGTTTTCTTCTACAGCTGAAATCATCTGCCATTACGGGTGTGCAGAATTAAAATTAAAACTATTTCAACGACAATAATAATTTCCATTCGAATGACACGTAAAAAATAAGCAATCATCGACTGAGAATTTCAAAAGATTCCCAATGAGTGAAGAGTTGTCTGTCAATGTGAAAAAATTGTTTTATTCCAAGCAAAATATAATCTTAAAATAATATCAAAACAAATTGTTTTAAAAAAATATTTGTGTTATGTAATTTTAGGGAATTGGATATAATGTGAAATTGTACTCAGAAAATGCTGTACATGATATCAGCTGTTCGGGTATTGGAGTAACTAGTAGGATTTGACAGCCAATTCAAATTGTTTTTATTGAGTTTCCTACTAATTAGTTTCATGCTGACAGGTTATATCAAAGCAGAAATGTCAGTACTTAATACAGGAGAGGATTATGAGGCCCTAGGTGCAATTTTCTTACAAGTTACCTTTACGTAAAAGTATTTTTAATGTTAAAAAGACAATAAAATCCTAAAATAATAACAAGTTCTTTTATTTCTAACACACACCTTCACTAAACATAATATCTTTGTGGTTCCTGCCAGACGGCCGGGACAAAGGTGAGAGACTTAATCAGATTAATTTCGTCAAAAATCGAGTTATCTTAAGTGATTTTCGTGTTAAATTAAAAATGAAATTTGTG